CAATATAATTATAAAGTAATATTTACTCCAATATACAACTACCTAGTTTTTGAATCCGGCTCTTCTCTATTTCTTTTCTCTCTATTTTCCCTAAGTTCTAACTTGGATTGGAGACACATGTCATAGTTTAAAATTAATGATTGAGATCTAATTGATTAAAGTAAAGTCCTAACCATAGTTATTTACTTCCATATATTTACTTCTTAAATATTTTTGCATTATATTTTTCCTAAATATATTTTAAAAAATTCTTTAATGCCCTGCATTCATATATAAAACTATTACAAATTATTTTTACTTTTTCTAAAAAAATTATAATAAAGTTAAAACATTTTTATTATTCTAATAGAGTATTAAGAGCTACGATGTCTATAGAGCAATATGGACTCCATTTAGGGAGTAAGAGAGAATTTAAAGTTGAGTGACAATTTATTTTACTCCTAACATTAGAAGAAAAAAACATTAGGTCACAATTTTTTATTTTTTATTTGGAAAATATTATTTGAGAAATGGCAAATGTTAGGGAAAAAAGTAAAAATCAGCAAAAAATTACTCAAGTAATTAAGAAAATAATTTTTAAAAATATATTTAGGAAAAATATAATGTAAATCTAGGATTGTTGGATTGCAAAAATATTTAAGAAGCAAATATATGAAAATAAATAGGGTTATAACTATGGCTAGGAATTTACTTTAATCAATTAGATCTCAACCATTAATTTAAACTATGACATGTGTCTCCAATCCAAGTTAGAACTTGGGGAAAATGAAGAGAAGAGAAATGGAGAGGAGCCGGATCCCTAGGTTTTCATCTTTGTCAACCTGTGCTATTTTTAATGCATCGATCCGGACTGCCTTCAACCGTATCATTGAAACACTACTCATATGAGAAGCAATAAATAAATTAGTAATTATTAATTATATCATGAATAAATAAAAATAATTTTTCTAATATAATTAATAAGTAAAAGTAAGCAAAGTATTTGCCATTTCTTTTGGATTATTATATTGCATAAGGAGTTTAGTGTACTTAGTTGGCACATAATATTTGTTATAATCAATTGATAGAAACATAATAATCAATATAATTCTAAAACTGTCGTTTTAATTTACTACAAATTTCTTTGATTAATTAATTAGTAGATGTACTATATAATACCACACTGCCTCCAACTGTGACACCCATGAAAAGTTTATCACTTACCTACGTAATTTTTGTAACCTACAAAACGGACAAATATTGAAATATGTGCAGTTAATTACCCAAAATAGTACTCCCTACAAATACTAATCTTCTTCAACAAGCATTTATAATGAATTTGGTACTACGTACACATATATAAAGCTGTTGTCTACTTGAAGTGCTTTACTACTTTTTTTACCGTAATTTTTGTGACAAAATCAATTTACATACGTACAATAATAATTACCCTTGAGAAAAAAATTATTCCGAAAAGTATTGGAATTTGGCATTACTTGCTTTCAAATACTCTATGAGTACTTTATTTGCTACTTGGGACCAAGAGTTTTTATATTCCCATTACTTCCTCCATTTAAAAAAGAATGACCTCCTTTTCTTTTTAGTTTGTTTAAAATGGAATGATCTCTTTTCTTTTTTGATAACATTTTACTTTCAGCTTTCCACGTGACATGTTTAAGACCACAAGATTAAAAGACAATTTTATACATTTGACATAACTTTAATTTAGAACCACAAGATTCAAAAGTCTATTTTATTTTCTTAAACTCCGTATCAAGTCAAACTAGATCACTCTTTTTGAAACAGAGGGAATATTATTTATCTAACACCTATTTGTAGCTACCAGCTTCATAAAACTTGGTTTTTCATTACTTATTTATTGTGTTGAACAAATCGTTAAGAAAATTTTATGAGAAAGAGGTACATTATTTTTTAGGATTGTATGTAGCAGTGACAATTGCATTTTGGGCATCAATTAATTAAACTTCTTGTTATACTATCTTCTGAAACATGTTCGCCCTATGCATTTTTTGCTCAGAAAGTCACTCAACTCTGGTTATTAACTGAAAAGTCACCCAACTATGAGTTTTTTTCTCAGAAAGTCACTCAACTATGAGTTCTTTTCTCAGAAAGTCACTAAACTTTGATTTTTAACTCAAAAGTCACCTAACAATGATTGTTTTACTTACAAAGTCACTCAACTATGAGTGTTTTATTTACAAAGTCAATTAACCAATTTAATTGATTTTTCATTAAAATTTACCGACATAAATTTTACTTTTAACCAAAATTATAAGAAATAAAAAGATATTTTATTTGCAAACATTTCGCTACTACCAAACTAATCAACACTCAAATTGGAAACAAGTTATATTATTTGGATTATCATATGCTTTCCAAAGCAGATTAGCTTAAAGATCACAAGTCACAACAGAGTCGATCAGTTCCTTATCTTTGCTTCTTGGTTTCTTATTATTTTTTTGAAGAAAAAAAAATTAGATGCAAATCGAGTAGTTATTTTGTATCATCACTTACTAAATTATATAAATGAATATCTTTTTATTTCTTAAAATTTTGGTTAACTTTTTTTTTTTATGTTAATAAATATTAATGAAAAAATAAATTAAATTGGTTTAATGACTTTGTAAGTAAAATATTCATAGTTGAGTGACTTTGTAAGTAAAACACTCATAGTTAAGTGACTTTTGAGTTAAAAATCAAAGTTTAGTGACTTTCTGAGAAAATAACTCATACTTAAGTGACTTTATGAGGAAAAAATTCATAGTTGAGTGACTTTTGAGTTAAAAATCAAAGTTGAGTGACTTTCTGAGAAAAGAACTCATAGTTGAGTGACCATCTGAGATATTTTCTCCAATATTTTGACATACAAAGAATCAAATTCAATTGAAAACATTATCCAAAGATATGTCGTTTTTTTTTTTAAAAAAAAAACTTAGAATCTGGTGCTTACTATCCAAAGATAGTAACAAAAGCATTACTATTGTTAAATTAGATCTTAGGCCTAACTCACACCCCAAAAGCTAGCTCAAAGGGAGGAGGATTGCTCAAGCTTTATAAGGGGTCCACTCATCTCATTAACCACCGATGTGAGACTTTTGTCATTCTTTAATGCCCCACCTCAAGCCCAATGCTTAGCATCTGGTGCGTGGGCAATTTTTTATTTTGGGGGCCCCAACATCGGGTGAGACGGGCCCTGCTCTGATACCATGTTAAATTAGATCTTAGGCCTAACTCACACCCCAAAAGCTAGCTCAAAGGGAGGAGGATTGCCCAAGCTTTATAAGGAGTCCACCCATCTCATTAACCATCGATGTGGAATTTTTGTCATTCTTTAACAACTATTATTTAGTCCATATGGATGCCGTCACGTCCATGAAATTAAAACAGCCAAAAAAGTAAGAAAATGAGAGGTGCAGGTCCTAGATAAATATATATATTGATAAGAGCTGGATAGAATATATATGCAACTCAATGTTGGCCAGCTGAAATAATAGATTGATCTAGTGGCAATCGAATATATGCCCACAAAAACAAAATGAAAGAAACAAGAATAAAACAATACTATTTCTTAATTCCATATATATATTCAATATTTATTTTGAGTGTCTATCGATTTTTTATTAATAATAATTTCATGTTACTCCTAATATAAAACTTACAATATGTGTTAAAAATTCTGAGTTGTAAAAATAATTCCACCTGACCTTCACTTTCTTCGTCCATATTCGTTTGTTGCCTTATTTTATACTGACAAAAGTGCTCTGCCCCTTTCCTCTTCTTGGACTCCATGCTTTCTGTTGTTTATTTATTACGATACGTCCATATTCCTTGATCGAACAGGCACGTTTTTTAAGACGTATACAAAGATTTGTATAGTTTAAAAATAAATAAAATTTTAAAATATATATATTTTTTGCTAAATAAGTGAGAAACAATATTGAACATTTACAAATAAAAAATAATTTATTTAAAAAACTTATTAAAAAGGAAAGTGTGTCGAGGGAAAGTAGTAATTTAGTGATGGGAAGCAATCTTTTAATCTTATACAATTGGTATTAGTTTAAAACTCACGTATATGGTAAGAATAATTAGTTTTTGTTAGTAGGTCTTTATTTTATTCTGCTTCACTAATATTTAAGGGTGTCAATGGGACGGTTCAGTCGATTATTTTTAAAAAATTATATCATACCAACTTTTTGGGTATTATATAATGTATAACATATATTTACATATACATAAGGTTATTCGGTTCCGTTCGGAAATTTTTCAGTTTTTTACAAAAATTAAAAATACCATCCCAATTGTTTGGGATGGTTAAACACTTAGACAAAAATCCACGGTTTTATTGAAAAAATGACATAAATCGATTCGATTAAGGTCGATCAATTTTTCATATTCTTTTGACACCCCTACTTATAATATTGTTAGCCGATTCGAATCAGGTATTATTTTTATTAGGTAAAACTCATTAAAACCATTAATTTATATGTGTGCTGATCAATTAACCCACTACAAAAGAAAGCACAAAGTATTTCTTATTTCATATACTGAAACTCAAGACCTTTATTTCAAGTTTTTAACCATTCATCTCATCTATCACAGAGAAATGGATGAATATAGCCTTTTATTAAAGAATAATTCAGCAGAGGCTTTTTTTGATGTTATTTTTATAGTTCTTTTATATATATATATAAAAAAATCTTTTGAGAAAAGGGCATAAAACTCATTGATGGTAGCTATTGTTACCATTATTTGTATATTACTCATAACTCAAGCTATTTCCACTCCAATAATTGGATGAATAAGAGAATATATTTGTTCAGTATGAAAAAAAATCCTTTGAGCACTATTCAAACATTTTCTTGAATGAGTTTTATAGGTACAAATTTAAAATAATCAATTCCAACACCAATACGTACAAATTTAAAATTAATCAAACTCTAACGCGAATATTATATGAAGCAATAAAAAAACAGAGATGCTTCCCCACTCTGTTCTAGTTCCCCCAATCCCACTACTCTTTTTTCTCTGTATCACCCTTTAACTTTCCCGCTCTCTCTTCTCTTCCTCTCAAGTTTCTTTCTTTCTCTCTCTATATCTCATGCTTGTGCTTTTTATGTATGTCTTCTTCCACCTCTCTGAATTTCTTATTCTTTTCTTCAAAATCCTTAGACTGGTCTTTGTCTGAAATTTACCTTATAAACTTCGACACCACCATTTTCAAGAAAATAAAAAGAGATGAACAATAGATTCCGACCATCTCTACACCCCAAAAAAGTTCCTTTGAATCCTCAAAAGGTGAGTTCTTCCACTTTCCAAAAATCCCAAAATTTTCTTCTCTCTGACTTTGATTATGCTAAATTATTGAGATTTCTCTTCTTTCTTGTCCCCTTTCCTCCTTTTACTTTTTCTTCCTTTATTTGGCCATTGTCTTGAATAATACTACACAATCTTTGGATCCAATTTCTGAATGGGATGCTTTACTCATATTCTCAATACCCCTTTTAATTACACATCTAATTTATCTCACTTATTAAATTCAACCTGAAAAGTTTGTTAAATCTAATTCTTGATAGGAGAAGAAGATGGAAATACAGCAAAACAAATTCTTGTCTGTAGAGAAGCCCAGAGTTAATCGGCGTCAAGCTGCTAAAGAGAGAAAATTAGCCTTACTTCAAGATGTATTCTTATCTTAATGCTCTAAATTCATAAAATTAAAATTTTCATTTTTTGCCTTGAGGTTTTAAAACTTTCTGATTTTTCGCGTTCAAATTGGCAGGTTGATAAGCTAAAGAAGAAGCTGAGGCATGAAGAAAATATCCACAGAGCATTGGAAAGAGCTTTTTACAGACCTTTAGGAACTCTACCTCGCCTTCCTCCTTATCTTCCCAAATATGTTAGTACTTGTGGTTCAATTGAAATTTCATATGATTTTTTTCGTGTTTTCGTTCTGAAAATATTGAGTTCAATTGAATATGCATGGTAAATGAATTGATTTGTGTGATGACAATAATGCAGACATTAGAGCTTCTTGCTGAAGTAGCTGTTTTGGAAGAAGAAGTGGTCCGGCTTGAGGAACAGGTTGTTAATTATAGACAAGGTCTCTATCAAGAAGCAGTTTCCACATGCTCAAGGCTAAATACGGACGATAATCATTTGTCTGATTCATGCCCTCAGAGACATGGTAAAATTTCTAAGCAAAGACATTCAAGATCATTTTCCATGAGTGAAGTCAATCTCGGATCATCCGTGCCACAGTCTTCTCTTTCTCTAGATAGGAGTGCTTCAAGTAGAAAGTTGTTTTTAAAAGAATCAGTGTTTGGTAGCTCGAGAATTAGCTATGATGTAACATCAAATAGCAGACAAGCTGTCATGAAGAATTGCAATGACTCATTGATAGATGGCCTACGAAAAGAGAATCACTCGGCTGATAGTTGTACTAAGGATAAACCATCTCCACAGAAGCAAGTCAGCACGATAAAAACTTTGTTAGTAAGGCCTCCTGTTAAGCCTGAATCAATCAGCAAAATAGCAGATGTTAGGGTTCAGGTATATACCATTAGGCAACCAGCAAGAAAGTTAGCATTTGATGCTTCACGTGCGAATTGATCTTATTATAATTCTATCTGTTCAGTGCAGGGTTGTAGAACAAGCACAAGAGAGTTATTTAGCTTCTTCAGATGAACGGGAATTGGAAGCTGAAAGCACAGAAAACAAAATATCTGAAGACATTTTAAAGTGCTTGTCTAGCATCTTATTAAGGTTGAGCACATCTAAAGGGAAGATAGCTAATACAGAATCTTTTCGCTCTTTAGGAGCAAAAGTCTTGAATGAAAGGGAGTTGCAAGATCCGTATTGCATCTGCTCAGAACAAAGGAAGCAAGATATTGGCGAATACGGATATATACTCACTATAGATGCTAACTCTGTTAATCTAAACCGGAAAATGAATGCTTCGTTTCTGATTCACAGACTTAAGTAAGTTCAGGCTCTCTACCATTTTCTAGTAATTATGATTAAGAAGTCAGTATATTTGCATGTCCTTATCGTGTTCTTTACATTTCAAACGTAAGGATTCTCCTTGGCAAGCTATCATCTGTGAAATTAGAGGGTTTGACTCATCAACAGAAGTTAGCATTCTGGATAAACACATACAATTCATGTGTGATGAATGTAAGTGGCCTATGTTATACCCAAAAATCAATTCATATTATACTCGATTTAAGAAATAATTCCTTGTCATGAATCTGTCAGGCATTTATAGAGCATGGTATTCCAGAGACTGCTGAACAAGTTGTATCACTAATGCAAAAGGCAAGTTACTCAGTCACTATAATCCATGCTTCGTATATTGCTGATGCTACAATAATTGATCCATTTCTCCTCGTTGAAGTTGTAATGGGTCAGTTAAAAGTATATGCGGTGTAGGTTTTCCTGATACTGTGGCAAATGAACTCCGGAATCTATTTAACTTTCTGAATGAATTTCATCAGGCAACAATTAATGTGGGAGGGCATTTTCTAAATGCAATCATGATTGAGCACTTTATCTTGAGGCTACCGTACCACTTAAAATATGTAAGTTACCTTTCGATGTTCCTTAATCTGTTCTGCAGTTGTGTGAGCTTAGAGCAATTCTTTTTAAATTTTTCTTTCATTCAACAAACTCTTAAGCTATTTTCCATCACTTGAAAGACCTGTTCAAAGTCGGCAAAAGACACTGAGCTGAAGGTTCGGAGCGTTTTTGGCTTGGAGTGGTCTGAACCTCTCGTCACATTTGCACTCTCCTGTGGAAGTTGGTCCTCCCCTGCAGTAAGTTTACCGGCCACTTACATAGCCTTGCTTTACAATTCATTTTCCTGTGCTGGAAACTTCAAAAAGTATAGCTTTCTGAATGTCTACAAACAGAAATCAGGTCATTTCACAAAATTAAGAAGTAAAAAAGCATAATGGTTGAGAAAAGAATTCTCGCAAATTAAAGAATAAGCATAAGGTCATAAGGTGTATAATGAGTTGGTCAATCATTCATCTCCTGAAGTCTCTCAGAGCTTTAAACTCCGTGCTAACATAATGTTTCAAGTCTCGACATTATGTCCAAGTAATTCTAATTGTATGTTGTGATCTTTTCCATACCGAAGGTGAGGGTTTACACTGCATCTCAAGTTGAAACTCAGTTGGAAACAGCAAAAAGAGATTACTTACAAGCAGCAGTTGGTATTTCAGCAACAAATAAGCTCATTATCCCCAAGTTGTTGGATTGGTATCTTCTTGATTTTGCAAAGGACTTGGATGCATTACTTGATTGGGTGTGCCTCCAGCTACCAGATGAACTTAGAAATCAAACTATGAAATGCCTTGAGAGACGAGGAAGAGAACCCCTTTCACAATTAGTTCAAGTAATGCCTTACAATTTCAGCTTCAGGTACCTCATACACCAATAAAATATTGCTTCCACTAGTTCCAGAGTACTAGCTCAGAAGACAGAATACTAGTAAAGGAACTGTCTGAGAAGCATAACATTTCAGAGGGATGTGTTAATGGAACTAATGATGGTCATTGATATTGTTCCAGATAACAGTATAGGATTGTAGCAAATTCAATTCTTTGTATCTCTTAGACACCTACGTTAATAAACTCGACGAGATCATTATCTCTAGAGTAAGCAAAAATGTTGCTTGCTGAAACACAGGTTGTGGAATCAGAGTATATGTGATGTGATTATTTGTAGAGTTAAATTCTGCAGCCAAGGTTGTGTCTCATTCAACTACACTATTTTGGTCAGTGCCATTGTACATTACTGTCTCAAATTTGTTTTGAGTCGACTTTTTATTTGGTTGTACAATTTTTCAAATATTTTACAACAAAAATTTGTGATATCTACTCTCTAGTACTTTTACTAGAATCTTGGAAAATGTAATTTTACTTCAAACAAAAAAAAAAAAAAGGATAACTTAGATGCATCAATGCTGTTACATATACCTTCTTTTTTTTTTCTTCATTTTTTGTTATAATATATGTTCACGGGTATTTCAGCAATCAAGACTCAAATTTGTGTTAAAGCAACAAATTTGATGACAGAGGAAACTTAAAGAGGCCATCTTGTACAGTTATAGCAAAACTAGGCACCATAGTAACAAATATGCTTCTCTTTTACACAGTGGTTGTAACAACAATAACAATTATATTCCGTGTAATCTCACAAGTGGAGCCTGAGAGGATAGTCAAATGTAGACCTTAAATAATAAGATCCATAGAAATCAGTGTTTACAAGGACTTACATCTGTGTAAAAATACACATGTTGATATTTAAAAAAAAGATGTATTTAAGGAGAGACCATACAAAACAACACCCGCCGCTATTAGCAAAATTTTCAAAGAGAACTACAGGAACTGATTGCTGGAATTAGTTGCACACGGCCAAACTAGACAAGGGTAAAGGAGGAAAGGAAAAGATGATGTGGAGGGAACAAAAGAACACCAAATACAAAATGGATGATTACACTATGTACAAACAATTGCACTATGCTAATACCAACACCACAACAACCAAGCCCAGAATTTCTGAGTAAATTTTGTTTCAACCGGTAATTTCAGCCAAATGGAGAGGGAACAGGAACCACAAGTGCGTCCGATCTTTTAATGCTACCCATACCACAAATAATGCAGCCAGGTGATGACAGAGCAGAGAATTTGGCCCCACATAGATCACACACATCATAACCAATGGTTGATAGACGGCTAAGCGTAGCAGCACAGAACTGGGATGGATCTTCTTGCGGATCAATTGACTTGTTGGACAAGCCCCTTTGAACACATATGTCAACCAAGCTCCTCAACTCGTCTTGCTTGCCTGGAGGTGCCTTAGATAATAGAAGTTCAAGCATCTGCTTGGAATAGCCATAATTTTGTACGTCCATGTTCCTCTTGATAGCAGTTCGAATACAATTTATCCTGTGCTTAGCGAGAAGAGGCAGTGATCCCAAGTGTCGAGACAATCGTGCCATTTCATCCTTTGCACTGATTGCACTCGGGCCCTGAACTCTTTGCAGTCGGCTGATTTCCTGCAATGAAGTGACAAAGGACTTAGATGCTGTTTGACCATGAATATATTTTACTTCTTTCTGGAGTTGAATTCTGGAAATCATGTTTGGCCATAAAATTTCGGAAAAATCAGGAATTTACCAGAATTTGAAAAACACCAAAACCTTTTTCACTCCAAAAAAAAATACATTCAAAAAACAACTCTAATTTCCAAATATTCATTTTTCACTTTGAAAACAAAAGCTATTGTTTTTTCAAATTTCACAATTTTCATGGCCAAACAGGCAGAAGCCATCCATCCAAACAAAACAAGACCTTGAATGGAAACCAAATGATATTTGCTCAATATTGCTGTTGGCTAGTAAATAAAAGGTTCTCTTTTACCAAAAAAAAAAAAGGTTGTCTTCTGCAATGAAGCTTAGATTTCAACTTAAGTCACCCATACACAGGTAAATACATCTCCCTTCCCGCTCCTCTCTCTTTAATCATCCTATCTGTTTACAAAGGCTATCTCAAACTACCTCCTGCATATGCCTACGGCATATGCTGTAGGGACAACACAAAACTAGCTAGTGGGTTTGCTGCATTAAATTCTAATGCGGAAAATTCTATTGAGAACAGCTGCATTTTGGGAAGAAACACAAGAACAGAGGAGAAGGGTTAGCTAAACTCCTACTTTTCTTATAGAGCTAATTGCACTTTTTGTCCCTTGCTCCAAATTTTAATCCTTGTGTTACCTGACTACACATATTTAACCTTCTAAAACTAAGAGCCTGTTTGGATTGGCTTAAAAGTGGTCAAACCTACTTCTAAGTCATTTTTAGCTTTTGGGAATGTTTGGCAAAGTTAAAAATAACTTAAAATAAATTTAAAATGACTTAAAAAAAGTTAAAAGATAAAAGTACGTATTCCCCTACTTTTCATTTTTTAACTGAAAAGTTACTATAGTTTGAGTTTCTAAAAACTACTTTTAAAAAGCTATTTTTTTTAAGCTAAGCCAAACGGACTCTAAGAGTACAGCTGTGCACTTTTGGTACTTCCACTAACAGATCTCTGTAAATATTCAATCTTAATCTTAAGACTAGTGGTATTAATTCAACCCACATGGTGAAGTAAGTCTATAGTGGTGATAACAAAATGGTTGTTATCTTGAAATATAAAAAGATGTGAATATCTGTCCTTAATGTTAAAAGAAATGAAGCTAGCAACTTGTATTAGGAGCAGATTAGATTCACTTGGTAACTTCTAATGCAGTAGTCTACAAAGAAAATACATGGCGTCAATTAATAGGGACAGAAACAGGAGGATGGTAAAACAAAAAAGTAGAGACTGTAGCTATTTGGTAAAGGATTAAGTACCTGAAGCAGAGTGACTGCAATTTTGTATTGTGCACTTATTGTAGCTTGAGCTTTTATGTCAGCTCCACGAGATTGATCCTTAGCCAATGCTAAGAAAGCTTCATCGAAACAGGATAATGCATCTGGCAGCTGATTTTGCTCAAGATGGGCAAGACCAGTCTTGAAGCAAAGTGGAGCAGCAGCCCCACGAGGAACCTATGACAAAGAAAAATGCAAATTGTAAGAAAATGATGAGGATTCTGACTTGGACATAATTGACCTTAAGACTTTCAAGTTTCAACTGACACTAGTGCTCAAGGATCTCCTCACTGATTCTCAGTAAATCCTTGTCGTATTTACTTTCTTGAACCCCCATGGAAGGAGAAGGTTTTTAGAGAGCTCAAAAATATTTCTGTTGTATGTTATCATATAGCAATAGTTCATAGGTCTCCCTAGCTTCATCAGTTTTTCTTCCGCGGACTTATATACAAATTCCTCACTTTGGAGCATCATTGCTCCTTGTCCCTCTTGGCAATGTGATTTTCCTTTTATTTCTTCTGAAGTGAAGCACAAATGAGCATATCACCAACTGCGGGTTTGGCCTATCTGTCTCTTGTTTTTTGTCAGACAGTGAAGTAGAATCCACCCATTAAGAAGGTTGAAACCCTAAATATATACACCTTAACAGAATCAGTATGCTCGTTGCAGTTAAGCTTAATTATCCATCTTCTTAACCTTTGACTTCAAATTTCTTTTCCCTAACCCATCACTAGTTTAATTCTGATTTGCAATAATACAATCCAAAAATGAAGGGATTTCTTGTAGCACTCAATTTTCTCAGCATCCTTGTATCTTATAGTACAAGGGATTTCCCTTCACTAGCCCAAATCAACCACATACGAAATTGGTCAAATTAGACTTAGGTAAGTTAATTGATTTTTCAAAAGCACACAAATCCATATCCAAGGAAGCATTATATTTTCTCTTACTAGAACGCTCAATATTCAACCATGAACTAGTGACAACAGATCACTGAACATGAGCAATTGAGTAAGGGTCCTGAGGCCTCACTGTACCTCCTACACTCCAGTGAATCAGAAATATCAACTAATAATTACATAACGGCCTCACTAACTTAGTGAAGAATCTGATGACAAAACCCAGCTCTTAGATATGTAAATAACCCAGCTATCTGTGCTTTAATTTTACAGTTACCGCGAACCCCAAGCAGTCCTACAAAATTCTTCATGTGCTATTATCAACATGTATGGCATTCAAAAGGCCAATTTTCGTTCTTATGTGTCAGCATTTGCACATAGAAAAAACGAAATTGTTAATGATTACCATCAATCTTCCCATTATTACTAATGATCCAGACAAGTTCAATATGAAGCAGGAATTGATCATAGTACGGTACCAACTATTTCCTAACAATTTAAAAGTGTGGAAAAGAAAACTTACTTGTCCAGGACGCACAGCTTTTGGAGGAGAAGATGGGCGTGCAGAAGGTTGTCCTGAACCTGGAGCTTCAAGAGAACTGAGATCAAGAGGTTGGTTGGACACGGGAGGTTTTGACATCTGAACATGAGGTTGCAGACCAGAATGTTGAGTGAAGGGCTGCGGAGGAACACCACCATCAGGAAGACCTACCACATCAAGTGAAACAGGTCGTTGAGTAGCTTGAGGGGGGACACCACCATCAGGTAGACCAACATCAACTGCAGATGCACTACCCTGGCTAGGTTGCATTTTAATGGCTTCAGCAACTTGGGAATTTTGATCCAGCTTAGAAAGGTAAGTCCCAGGAGGAGGCAATGATGCCGCAACCTGGACGGATGATATAGTATTCTGGAAGAAGTCCTCCGGAATGGGCCCTGCAGCAACTCCAGCACCCACTGCCTTAGGAGCAAGATTCGGCATAGATGCAGATTGTGTCAATGAATTTGTCCCAAACGGATCAGCAGATGTTGAAACCACTGGAGCTGTGACTGACCCATTGGTTGCAGAAGAAGGTTGAGGTACAAGTAGGCTAAGTTCTGGGGATGAACTAGTTAATGATTTTGTTCTACTAATCGGCAGGCCCAGCTGTTTTGTGGCTTCTTTTATCTTGTTCACGTCCACTGTAGCAGATGTCACAGGTTTGTCTCGAATTCTTATGTGTAATTTTTTTGTTTTTGATGTTTCTTCTTCATCACTGCTGGTACCGTCAGCAGCAGATCCATACAGTGATTTCTTGAATTCTTCTTCTGCTTTTGTTTGCTCATCTACCACACTAGAACTGGCAACTATCTTGCCAAGGCTTTCTAGTCCCATTAACATTTCACCCTCAGGCAACCCTTTAACCTGGTTAGCTGCCGATGCAGCAATAGATTTTTGAGGCTCATTT